GAGACCAGGCAACACAATTAAGAGTGCTAATAATTAAGAGTACAGAGTATTTAACGCATGCTTTGAGCTTTGAGTCTTTGGCTTTGACCTCTCAAGTGCAGTCAAGTTTCAGGTCAAAAATAACACAGCTTAAACATGAACTCATGTCTGCACAATGTGAGTGAAAGAGCTGCAGAGAGCCCTATTAGATCAACCATTGCAGCCTTTAACAGCTAACACAGCCTGACAGTGATGAAGTGAACCCCCAATTGTGTTCAGGATTGCTAAAAACACAAGATGTGATACACAATGGATGGTGTTAGCATCAGAGTCAATGTTTCAGTTGCACTGGCCTGTTGTATCTGCAGGCTTGTTAATATAAACACGGATATCCTCAGTGCTTTGCCAGCTGGGCAGATCACCGGGACCTCTGCAGGTCTCCTGTAGCTTAAGGTTCAGCTGCATGTTCAACAAATAATAATGCTCTGATCCCTGTAATGACCTGTGGCAAATTCAACTGTTTTCCTACAAATGCACCCAAAGGCACCATGAATAGCAATTTACATCAGTCTTAAGCCAAGCTTGTGTTTTTAAAGGTTGGACTATTTCTTTAAAATCCACATCATCTCCTGTCTGAGGCACTTAAGACCAAATCCAGGGTCCACATTCCAGTCCAAAGAGTCCGTCTGATTTTTAATCTAATTAGCGAAGCTAATGATAAACTTACTGTGCCACTGTGAAGATAAACTTAGTACAAAGGGGGGATTCTATGAAGCCTGCAGTCTGGAGATGAAGCATGAGGTCGGCAGACTAGAAACCACCACTCTGACATTAGCATGGGGGTGTTAATTAGCTGAACACAAAGTGTATCAAGCACTCGTTGCTTTTGTGGGTACACATGCACATTCCTGATGGTCTGTTTGAGTGCTGGACACTGAAGTCTTCAGTCCTTACATCGCCTGAGATGCTATATGACATTACTGTTATATTCTGCTTTACTCAAATGTGAAAGTTCCTCTTCAGCCACAGCGACATTTAAGAACTCTGGGAAACATTTATACATGATTTTGACACACTTCTACTTATTTCCCATCAATCAAATGATCAGTATGTGTTGAGGCTGAACATCTTCTGAAAGCAAACATACAAATCAAGCTGTCAATATGGCTCCTTAATAAAACCCACATGCTATAAAAATCCATTCACAAAGAGACACTTTCCTAATTAGTAATGTGTGTCTGGTGACCTCAACAATGAATGGAATGATAGATGTTCCCAATGTGTTTTCCCCCCGAGATTTGCTACAGCAGATGTTTTTACGAGATGTTAAAAAGCTGCAGAGTTTACTCACTGAAAGATACTGTACTCCGCTAATTGCGCAGATAAAAACATTCATTATTAAACATTTTCGGCCAAAAAGTCTGTGTTCAGTCTTTGTAGCTGCTGGTGGTATGGTTTGTATTCATCATATTAATACAAACACACAAGTCCTCTCGCAGCACGAAAGCCAATAATGTTATATCCTAGGAAAATATTTATTTAAGATTAGGGAAGGCTAGTTAAGGTTAACAAAAGTCTATGATGGGATGCAAGCTCCCTAACACTCATCACACCCTTACTCACCGCGGTGCTGCATATAGATTACACAACTTCCTGCATTGACACAGCATGTTGGAATGTTCTGAGTATTGAAGAGACCCATTTGCATGAGTTTATAGGTGTTCACTGTATGTGCACAACATGTATTTGAGTTTTTTTTCACTTATCTCTGTGTCCTCGGTTTATGCATCCATGTGTGTGAGAAAACAAAAGGACACACAACCATAAAAGGTTATGGTCCGCAGGGAGAGATTTCCTGATCACATGACCACAACTAGCCTACGTGAAGGCATAGGGGCCGGAGAAAAACGAAGGCCAATGATTTGTTAACATGAGCCTGTGATATAAAGAAGGCTTTTTTGTTATGGCTTGTGATAACATTATTGGGGACATCTGATAGGCATGTACATCCACTTGTACTTTTCTATGGGTTGCACTGTTCAAAAAGTGCAGCTTTTTAAAAAATTATTATTATACAGCACACTTGTGGTTTTGGCATCCATGTAATATAATCGATGAAATGGTGGGTCTTTTAATTATTTAATTTAAAGTTAATGGATCCAAGTCATCCCCACAATCTATGGACAGCCTAAAATCTAACAATCAGTTTCACCGTTTTGTGCCAAAGCCAGGCGACATCAGAGCTGTGCGGGGGGGCACCCGGGACCTGCGGTTCACACTACCAGGTCAAGAGAGACTCATACCTCAGGTATGAGTCTCTCTTATTTCCAACAGCTTGCAGCTCTGTTTTAACCACTAACAGAAACTCCACTCTCTGCAGAACGATAATGTTTACTCTTCATCAAGCCCCATGTGACACCTGCAACACTAGAACCACCAGGGGTCGCTGTATACCTAAAACCGACAACGGGTCAAATGTACCCGCTATTAGAATGCATTGATTTTCAAGATACAAAGTTAT